TCCCTAATTATTTTCATGCTTTCTTAATTTTTTGAAATATTTAGGCATGAAGTTAAATATAATAAATTGATAGTGCACTTTCTCAGTGCATAGGACACAGAAGTGGGCATTGTCTATTTCAATAACCAGCCTTGTAGTTACATTTTTTCTAAACTTTGGCATACCAGTGGTATATTATCTGCAAATGGCTTTTCTTCAGAAGAAGCTAATATCACAGAAATGAATGGTGGAAATTAACCTCATGATTATGCTGTAATCTTCACCACTACCTGAGTTATGGATCATTGTATCAGAAACATTAGCACATTAACCACTGTGTCATCCATAATAGGTGAATGGGTGGTCTCACATTTAACAAGTCTCTTAATGGTGCAGGAAGAAGTAGACAAGGAAATTGGGAATTTCTCGTGTATTTGCAATTTTTGCAGTTTCTTAAATTGAAAAAGGAATAAAAATGAACCTTACTCTTAATGTGAGAGAACTTTTGCAGATTGCATGCATGAGCTTTATTTATATGTTACAAATAAAAAAGTTTCCCTTGGAAATGCTGAGGTTTACAAACTTGTAGCTTTCATTCCCAAACAGTGAAATTACCTTAGAGAGCCCCTTACATATATAGCGTTATGTAGGCAATATAGAGGAAATTATTGAACTGAAATGTCTCTGCAGAAGGTATTGTACTTTGAAATAATAAAAAAGTAACACAACTCCTGTTCTCTACACAGTTAATTGCTCACTTCTGAGCTTTCACTGTTTACCCTGCCTACCCTTTCAGCTTTTTGTCATTGGGTGTGGTGAATGGTCGCTAAGTACCTGTTTATAGTTCACAGAAATAGCCCTGGAGAGTTAAACCAGTAGTAATATGAAACCAGTCTTCTTGGTGGGTGGGTGTGTGAGCTTTCTTTTTTTTTTTTAAACTGGCCCTGGAGCCTGAAATCTGCATTCCAGATGAAACCTGCAGCAAAGCGGAAGGAGAGAGCTTGATATTTTTTATTCAGTTTCAAGGGTACTACGTCTAGATACTGTAGCCGGTTGAGAATTCAGAACAGTCCAGAAGATCAACGAAGGTTGTTTTTGTTTGTTTGGTAGAGATTTTTGAAGTATTGCTTTGTGTGGATTTGTAATTTTACAGAGTTTTTTTTGTGTGGTTGCATTTGCTAAAGGCGGTCTTAGACAAAGTGGAAAAGGTTACATGAAAGAAGCTTTCAGGAGTTTTCGGCAGACAGAAGTTCACAACCCATAAGGAAGTAGGAAACTAATGCGATTCGTTCTGTTCAACAGGCTTTTTCATTTATACAGTTGCTCTTCACTTTTAACAAGTAGGATTGTGTAGCCAGTAAGATTGCAGGAATTGGGGCAGTGATCATTGGTCCGGTTTTCAACTGAGAGTACAGTGCTGGCAGATTTTCGCTGACAAAAAGTCTTTTGTGTAAAGGAACAAGTAACGAAGTTGCCAAGAACTTTGAATACTGTATGTCAACATGCAGAGCCTTCTTGTTTCTCTTGGACTGGAGTTGTAAAATTTGACAGATGCTTTCAGTCCATACTACAGCACTAGAAACATGAAAGGAGGGATAGTGTGACCTTGGGGAGACCGGCTTTCCTTATGATACAAAAAGAAGAGCTCCCATTGCATTTCCTGTTGTAAGTTAATAGACTGAATGGGTGTAATAAACAATTGTGTAGAAGGTAACTAACAGTAATAACAAAAGTAAAAGCTATATTGTGGTTTGCCCAACATGGAAGCAAATAACACTTCACCTGGCAGCAGTGAGCTTTTACATCTAGGGCATGCAACAGAGACTGAACACAGCCAGCCTTTCTTCACTGCATTTTCTATGAAAGCACTTTTTGGATTTACTACTAAGTTGGAACCAGCAACTTTGAAAAAACAAGCAGTACTTAAGGCATTTCGAACTTTTGATGCTGATACAAATACCCAAGCTGCCAACCAAGACAAGGGTGGTGGTGGTCATGATGATCCAGAAGTACATCATGTGCTTCCCAAAATACAGCAGGCTGACCCGGAGGCCGGCAGCCAGGCTGACCCAGAGCCCAGCAGGCAGGCTGACCTGAATATGGAGTTAGCTGAACAGAATGAACCACCTCTTCCTCATTTAGAGTCTGTACAGCCTCCTTTGTCTGAATGTGACAGAGATGACAAGGATGCCATTTTTGTACAAAGTACTTTGGCTTATACAACAAGTGATACAGTATCGGACAATGAGAGTACAGACCTAGACAGTGATGGAGACAAAACAAACAAATCTGTGTTAACTATTGTGGCTTTGTCTGATGAGTCTTTAGAGAATAACAACCAGGATAAGGAAGAATTGGAATCAGAAGGGTCCAGTGAAGGTAATGCCACTGTGGAGAGAGATAAAACTGAGTCAAGCTCACCAATTTCTCAGCAGCTTCCAACAGAGCTGAATGGTGATCTGGAATGTAGCTCAGCTAGAGAAGACAAAATGTTAACAGACGAGCACTGCATTGGCCCACCTTCTCTAGAAGAGAATCCTCAAGAGCCTATGAGTGGAGAAGAACAAGCATCTTCAGCAAACGGCACTAATAACACATCCTCCCCAAAATCAGCCGTAGGTGAAAAGACCTTTCAGCTACCTACTTTCTTTAGTGGATTGCGTGTGCGAAAAAAAGGTCTAGCTGCAGAGGATGGAGAGACTATCACAGAAATTAAACCAAAGGACAGTGATTTGGCTCTGCTTAAATTAAAACAGCCGGTTAAGAAATCTAATATTACATCAGACGTGCTCACTAAAAAGAAACCAGCTGAGCCGAAAACAAGTCCTACTTTCCTGGAACAGCTCTCTCAGCTGTTAAACATTGAGGTCCCTAAAAATGAAGATAAAGCCGAAGATTCAGGTGAGGAGACTAGTGAGACTGAGACCAGTGATGAAGGCCAGGAGAGCAAAGCCACCAATAGAACGAAGCCCCTGTCCCCTGCTGAAGAAACAAAACCAAGCCCAGCTGAGTCGGCATTAGATGCATTTAAAGCTTTGTTTACGCGGCCTCCAAAAAAGGAGATGACTGTTGATACTTCAGAGCTGGAAGCCATAAAACGCAAAATGAGAAATGAAAAGGAGTTGCTGAAAGCAGTATTTGAGAGATCAAAATCAAAGTCTGGGAATGGAGCATCTGACCTGAAATCTGTAGGTTTGAGTTACTTTTACATTCTAAGGGCTCGAGGTAAATAAATGGATATAAAATAATTTCTGCTGATAAAATGATTGGTGTGAACTAAAATAACTAAAGTCAAAATTTCAAGCGTGGCTTCTGATTTTGGGAGCCTTAAGTTTTGGCTTCCCAACTTGAGACACCTTTAATCTTTTCACAAGTGCTGGACAACCCGAGTTCTGAATGAAGTCAGTGAGAACTATAGATGATGAGCACCTTTTGAAAACAAGGCCAAAGATGTCTCAAGTTGGGAATCCAAAAAATTTGAGTCCCCCAACTTGTGTGTCTAATATAAAAAATGTGGCTGCAAATCAATTGCTTTCCTTTCATTGAATGTGGGTGCTCTCTGAATCAAAGTTAAATTACAAGTATTTACTGTAAATATCTTTAATTATCCTAATAGAAAGTTAATACTGAAATTCACTCTTTATTGTTATTGTAAATATTACACTTCATATCATATACCTAGACTTCAAGAAAACCTAAAGAGAGTTATCAGAGATCAGTGTCAGCCTCAACTCTACACTGTCTTTATTTTTAATGGCTTTTCTTTCTAAAAGTAATTTTTGTTTTGTTTTTTAAAATCCTCTTAGAAAGAATTGTATTATGACAGGTGATGCAACAGACAATAAGTTGTATACAATTTTCTGGGTGACTTGCCAAAGAGAGGGGCCCTAAAAGGTATCCTCTCTGTCAATTGTCTATACACCTAAACTCTGATCTTACAAAGACTTCCACATGTTCAGCAGTACACAGGACAGTTGTCCCAGTGAAATCAGTGGAACTATTTATCTGTTTAAAGTTAAGCATGTTCCTGTATGTTTATGGGATTGGAGCCTCTGTCAATATGGTGTTTTGGATATGTGTATTTTTAAGTGAAAAAAGGCAATAAAACCCCCACAAAACTCTCCCACATTGAGAGTCTGAATAAACCAATATAAATTCATAGTAAGGACCTGAACTTAAATGCAAATACATAAATTTAAAAGCCCCTTTGAGTTAAATGAGCAGAAAAAGGACACATCCTTTAACAATTACAGATGTGCGCAGATGTAATTAATTCATAAAACTATTTTCATTGACTACAGTAGGATTGCGTGTTTGAGTAAGGGTTGTGGGGTTGGGTCCTAAATCTGAAGCTGGATAACCTAGAATTTGTTTGCCTGTACTCCAAGTTTTGAGTTTCCATTCGCGTGTGCGTGTGTGTGTATGTATGTGTTTTAAAAAAAACCTCTAAGAACTTCTCCTGGGTAGACTGAGACCTTGTAGACACAATATCAGCTTACAGTAAATTTCCTGTGGTGGGGAAAATGTAGATGCTGGCAGGGCATTTGTTTCTCGTGTATCAGTGACACCAGTGAGCACTACTATAATTCACCTTCAACAAAACTATGTTTGGCTCTTCCAACTTTAGCTATAGATACAGAATAAATATGAAAATTCCTGACACCGTATTAGCCTCCTTGGTTCACAACAGGCAGGCAGCTTCTCAGAGCTACTTTGTTATATTTAAATTAAAATGCTGCATGTAACATGCTAGTAAGCTTTGTGATGTTTCCCCCCACCCCCAAAGCAGTTGTTCTTACACTCTTTTCCTCCTTTCTTCATCCTCACCGACTGAATTTCATTATAATGGATTGGAATCAAACTGATAATCATCCTGGCTCTAATTTTATAATGCAAATGAGCTCCAGTTATGGACGGCCATTGCTTTAAATACACAAGTTTAGTTAAACGCAGTATTTACCATTTTTGGAATGGATTAATATTGCAACATTTTAATCTTCTCTTTTTCATATTTTTAATAGCCTGACCTAAATCCCTCAGAGCAAGATGACAAAACTCCAGGGAAACTCCAGGCTGTCTGGCCTCCACCTGAAATCAACGAGGGAAAAGAAAAAGTGGGGTTGAAGTACACTGAAGCAGGTAAAACAAAAAGGTGAAAGACTTGCAGAAATGGATTGTTGTAATGTTTCAAGTGTTCGGTTTGTGAAATATAAAAATATAATGATTATTTTCTTATTCTAAAAAGCTGACAGCATATTATTTTTTTCTCACCATGGCACTAGTTACCATGACCTGGTAGGTAGGTAATTTGAAACTCTCTGTGGATTTGGATGCCATCTGAAGAAATTATAACCTTTTGAAACTTCTTATGAAAAAAAAAATTGCATTGTTTTCTGATATGCTAGGCCAAACATATATCTGGTGCAACTCTGTTTAAATTAGTGGAGGGATCAAGATGGTCTAATATGTCAGAATTACTATAGATTCCTTCTTTTTGGGTTAGAATACATTTTGGGTATTGAATCTGCCAGATTCTAGTCTGATTTGCTGATTCTCTTTAGGTACCATTACACTGATGTTTTTACATTCAGAGTAGAAGTAGGAGTATTAACGTGTTTAGTTTTGTTACCTTCTTTGCATAGGCACGTAGGAGTAGCTGTATCCAATCAGATCACTGGTCCATCTAGTTTGGTATTTTGTGTGTAATAGATCCCAGTACTAGATGCTTCAGCAGAAAGCATGAGAAACCCAGTGCTGGACGTTTCTGGAATAGTCTACCTGTAGGAAAATGTTTCATCCAAGCCCATATCAGCTAGTTGTTGGCTTGTGCCCTGAGCATGAGGGTTCATAGACCTTAAAAATATGTTTATTGCATCCAAGTGTAACTCTGGCTGTTCTCATTATTCATACATTGTGGGATTTTTCTAAAGCACCTAAATGAAAGGCAATGGGATTTGTGTTTCTAATTCACCTAGTTACTTTTGAAAAATTTATCCATAAATGATTTAGTAGGATTAAAAAAGGATTAAATTCTTGGCCTTTATGCTATATTCTGGCAATAAATTCTGCAGTTTAATTGCCTGTGTCTTGTATTGGGTTTAAATGTGTTGTCTTTTAGTTTCAATTAAGGCCTACCTGCTGTTGTATTACTAGAGAGGGTAAATGGGAGTAATAGATTTACTTTTCATATATGATTCATTATCTTGTTTATTTCTATTGTGTCCCTTCTTATTTGTCTGGATTCTAAACTACATATTCTCACTCCTTTCACTGTCTCCTTGACTCATAACTTTTTCACTCCCTCCTGAACCCCTACTATTTCTGAACAATTACTCCTAGGTAAGAGAATAATACTAGTTAAATGATGTTCAGTGTCAAAATAGTACTGTTAACAAATAAAGTAAATAAATTGTTTAAGTATTTTTTAGTAGGAAAAGAGGGAGGGTTATTAGAGGGAGAACTGAGAACTAGCACCCTAGGTTTTTTTTCTGTCTCTGCAATTGACTCGCTATGAATTTGGGCTAGTAATTTAACCTCTCTCTCTACTTTAGCTTACTGCTTTATAAAATGGATGTAACACGAGGAGTATCTTCCGCACAGGGGTGTTCAGAAAGTTAGCTACATTTGTTTTTCCAGCACTGACAGGAACACCGCTCTTAACTCATCTGACCCACCATACTTCTACATACTGAATTGGGTCACTTATATTGTAGCTAATCAGTCGGAAAACTCAGAGAGATCCCTAAATGAACAGTACAATATATGTGCAAAGTACAGTATTTCAGCTTTTGACAGGACTTCCACTGTCTCTTTTTCTGAAACTATTTGTTTTTTAAAAGTACTACATATGGAGTATTTAATATTCCTAACATGAAAAGTGAAAAAAGGGCTTTCCTATCTTTTTTTTCCCTACTTCCTAGATGTCTAAAGTGAAATATAATCTGTCATAGCAAAAGGGGAACAAGCTTTCAATAAACAAAAGCTCCATATTGTACTAGTAATGAGATGAACTAGTTCATGCTTTATTGGGATGTGAATAGGAAGGGGGGGATTCACTTAGATCCCACATATATTGTTTGTTACTGAGACGTTGTGGATGGCAGTGTCATCAACATGCTGATGGTATTCTAAGCCTTATTTTTATAGAGCCCAAATTCTACAGTCCCTTTATTCACCCAGTGTCTGGCAGAGATAGGGATTTTGATGGAAAAAAAACTGCTGGTGATTCAATTGTGATGAAACACAAGTGATGCTTTTACAGGAGTTGGGTGAAGGCTGTGTCTGTAACATCTGTTGAGGATGTATAGTAGATTTGTGCCTAAATGGTTAGCAGCCTCTTGATTCTTTTGGCTCCATAATTATTCCTGGATGCCCAGAGAGCAGTGGCAGCTTGAAGTGAAACTGTATGACTGGCTAGGACACTGCAAGTGAAAACCTCAAATCAGCCATGTTGCCTGTGTTAGCTCTAGGTTTGAAAACCCTAATGCACTTTGCTTACGACTACCCCTGAAGCTCATCTGCAAGCTCCTGGAAGAGCAGAATGCTACTTGTCCCAAGTGTGGTGTCTTCTGCACAAGTATCAATCTGCGTGGTGCAGACCTGCTTTAAATATACACAACTTGTACCCCAGTCTTCACTGATTTCCTGTTTGCTTTCAAGTGCAATGTAAGGGGGTAGTGTTTATCTTTAAGTCCAGAGTAGTGTGGGACTCTATTATTTGATAGAGCGTTTCTCAGAAGATAACTCATTCCAACAGTTAAAACCAGATGGAAAGCTCTTGTTTTCAGAACCTACGTTTAAACACTGTCTATTGGCAGTAGGGTGACCAGATGTCCCGATTTTACAGGGAGAGTCTGGATTTTGGGGTCTTTTTCTTATATAGGCTGCTATTACCCCCTTTCCCCGTCCTGATTTTTCACATTTGCTGTCTGGTCACCCTAATTGGCAGGAATCTCTCAGATATTGCTTCTCCTCCCCTGATTTTTTTCGAACGTGCTCCTTTTAGTCACAGTCAGTCACAACTCGAGTCTAGCACAATTTTAAAATCACTTATTTTGTTTAGCATTTGATCAGTAGTTTGTTTTGCACTTGTTCTGCATTTTAATCTCTGCAAATAAAGCACCCAGCTGCCACAGCAATAGAAGCCGGGAAGAATGCAGGGAGCTTAGTTATGTGATTATTCTTTGCATATGCATAGTTTACCTATGAAGTAAAAGAGCTTTCAGTTCATAATACCCCTGTGTTTGAAGAATTTGTCATCAGCAAGACACACAAGGGAAAAAACTACAGATCTGATGATCCCTATTAAAAATGCTTATTTAGTAAATATAGGTCTAGTAGTCACCTGAAGCTGGAACAACTTGTCCTATTGCTTAAACAAAGTGGAAAAAAGAGTAATAAGAAAAAAAGAACTTAATTGGCATTCATATTGGAGACAACTTTGGAATGAATCAGACTGAAATATAAATCCACTTAGCTTTCATAGCTATTCTTAACAACCTTTTTAGTTAATTCTTTTGTTTATATTTTTAAACAAGGTTCTGCTCCCTCAGCCTGTCTTTCCATCATACTTGATTCTGCAGTGAAGTCATGCTGTCTCTATGGCACCACAATTTCTATGGCAACAGACTCTGATGCTACAAACAGAATTTTGATTTCTTTGTAGGAAAGAGAAACCAGGCTCTGCAAGACAGCTCCCTTATTGAAACATAGGTGTTTTAAATGATAGCAAAGGAAATACCAAATAATGCCAGATGCTTTCTCTACAGTTTCTGAAGTATGAAAACCTCTTTCAGCTGTGCCACTATGGGATCCTCCTTCAGCACATTTTAAACCAAATGAGAGGCTTGTATACTAGAGCGATGTATGTAGTAGTCTGAGCATAGGTGAGAGCCACAAACTCATGAGCTTTAATCGTGGCTTTTACACAGGCTTCCTTCATGGGAAAATTATTTACCCTGTCTGTCTCATTCTTCCTCTGTAAAATGGAGATAATACTTAAATGCTTTTTTAAGGGTAGAGGTAAAGTAGTCTGAAGAGGAAAATATTTGTAAGTGAAGGAATTATTGTTCGTAATTTTTTCTAAATGAGTAAGGAATAACACTACGTAGGTGGCCTATATCTCTCAGAACTTATATTTGCCAGCTAGGCAACAGTAGCCAGATTCTTTAGGGATCTCTTCAGGCAAAAAGAGAGGAGGTGAATACTCCACTTGGAGCCTGTCCTTTTCAACAATCAGCTGGATGCTGGAGTATAAATGAATCTATTTCACTTTGTGTTCTTACTTGCCAACACTTGATATCCTCACAGGTTTCATGAGGACGTATTTTTTCAAGCAGCAAAATTTCACCATTTTTACTCTCATTATTGCTAGCTGTTTAGAGTGGAAATGGTGGAATCTGACCCTCAAGGGGAAATGTCACCATGAAGAAAGTGATCATATTTTACGTATGAGCTTCCTACTTTCTGTGCCTGGATGGGGAGTTAGAGTTGTCACTGCAAAGATCTGGCTTAATTAACTTCAGGCAAACCCACAAAGCATTCTGTATTTTAATGAAAGCCTGATGTGAATTCCGCCCCCCTTCAAAGCTCTAAATAATTGTATTTATTCTTCCGTGTCAAGCTTTTACATAATCAATAATAATACTAATAGTATTTAAGTATTATTTGTATTGTACTAGTGCCTAGGAACCTCATTCATGGACTGGGATCCCTAGCAGAGTGTCTGACTTGTATCAACTTTTTTTATTTTAAAACCTTTGCGATGACATTTTCTGGTATAAATATTGTGTATGCTTTATTATTGGTTTGATAATAGAGTACGTACTATAGGTTTGCATTGGCCATATCTTAGCAATTAAAGGATTTCATGGAATAAACCATATTTTACTGCTGAGATGCAAAAATAGAATTTAGAAAGCCTGTTCTTCTGGGATTTCAGTTATGACCTGTGATGCACATTGTTTTGGTAGATAATAGTTCAAGGAGATTCTGGCTGGCAGATTTTTCTGGGTCTTGATTTTGTAATGTTTATAGAAATTCAGGATATGTTTAAGTATTATTGCCTACAAGAGGCTATTGGAAACTATCACATTAAGAGATTTTGCCATGTGATGGGTTATTCATTTGAGAAACATGAT